CGGGGATGCTTAAGCCGACGATCTTTAAACACGTCCAGAAGAGTGACCGGTTTGTTCAAAGTGCGCGAGGCCCGACCCAAAAAATCATTTTACAGACGTGCATATAAATACATCTCTCTCTGTCTAGACACGCATATCTACCGTATAGATAGATAGATAAATGCGTGTATGTATACGCGGGCCTCGCACGATTTTAACAAACTGGCCGTAGGTATATATATAATATACGTGCGTTGTTCTTTGCAAGTCACCCATTGCTTTGGAAATTATTTAGACTGGTGTCAGTGAATATTAAGACCTCTTCAAGCCCGTTCTCTCTGCAGATATAGGTTTAATTCGCCATAGATCTTTTTTCCACCTGCTAGAGAAAATGGGAAAGATGATCGCACGCGAGGCGGAACTCTACTTTGAAATTTTATAATACATTGTAAATGTAGAAAACAAAATAAATCGCAGAAAAAATGATAGAGGGTCTCCTTAATCGCCGTAATTCTATTGGAGAGGGAAATCAACGGTACTAATAATCTCCCTCGGGATCATAAGTCTAGAGTGAATAGATGTGTTCAAGTCTCTAATATAGGATCGCCGTAGAAAATACTCTAATTAATTTTGGACTCCCGGTATGGTCCATAAAACTCGCAACATAAAAAGTATCTGATAGATACCTGATTTCTAGGATAAAACATCGAAAGGTCTCGAAAATCGCGTCTAGCTCTGTAAAAGTTCTACAAAAGGCACACATATTATCAAATTAGTATATAGCTCTCGGTATAACCTAGCAGGCATTACTGTTTCCTACGACACCGGACTGGAACCCTGGTCCGCCTGCTACGCGGCGGTCGGTCCGGGAGGGAAGCCTCGCTCACCGGCTAGGGAAACGCACAACCGGGCTTCTCTGTCGCGGCGGAGCCCTTTCGGCACAACACATTTCTACGTATGCACAGGAGCTTGTGGCGTCCCATACATATTCTACACACCCAGCAATCGGCTTATTGTCCTCCATCAACACCTGCCGTAATCCTACGGGACAGATAGGGATTTTATGGGATTGTCAGAGCGTGTTCGGACAGGTGGTCGAGGAAGGTGTGGGTGTTGGGTTTTCGAGTAGGAGGGTAGGGTAGGTCGTTGTATACACATAAAATCTGATGAAAGACTCACAAACCATGATTGAGTAATAATAATAATAAGGGAAAATGGCAGCTATTAGTAGTGTTACTTGGGGAGTGACATGATTGAGAAAGTTAGAGAAGTAAGTGAGAGCCTATGTAGAGATAACTTGCATAAAATCGTGCAAGCAGCAACCCATGCAAGCATGCACGCTCAACCGTCACCATAAGCCTCACGTCTCTACCATCATGTACAATCCACGCTACCATGCACTCCGGGCAGTATCTAGTAGTCACGATTCGTCTCTCTCATATGTTCTAGTTCAGTAGTACGCTTCAAAGGTGTAGATTCTCTTTGTTGCGCTAATCTAGTAGTTACGTCTCATCTTAGTATTCATGTTAAAAAAATAATAATTCTCTCATGATCTTCGATTCGACAGTCGGGATGATCAATAATCCCGTTGATGATCGATAAATAATATGCACTGAAAATAGTAAAATAAAAATCACGGGTTTGGAACTCCTTCGTCTCGTCTCTCCTCTGCTTGTTTCTATTCGTGCTCATTCTGTTTGCACCATACTTCCGTTTCTCGTTTCTCTCGTTCTTTTCACCCAACTGCTTGCGGGAAAAGGAAGGCTAACCTCGACACACTCACACATGACAGTTGGTGACGGGCGACAGGGTATGGTTCAAGTCTTTGTTAGTGAGAATAAGCGTTAAAGAATTTTTAAACTAACATCTCCACCGAACGCAAAAACAAAATCCCAGAAAGTCTTACCCTGAAAATCAGTGGGGTCGCAGTTGTAGAAGTTCCTCCAGTCTTGGCCGTAGGTGATGTAGTTGATGTACCAGCAGGAGGAGAGGATAATCTGGTGGCCAGCCTCCGTCAGGTCGTGGACATAGTCTCTCCAGCCGCGCATCTTGTTGGGCGAAAGAGACACGTCCTTCCATACTTGCACTACGCTCGTGTTGGCCATCTGAGAAGAGAGAAAGAGAAATGGCCTAAGAAATACAAACTTCCCGAAGCTAAATTTTCTTTTAAAAATGCTATAACTTCTAATCGCTTGACATACTTACTTACAAAACTTACAAAAAAAAGAAAAGAAAATAAGATGAAAAGAAAACAACAAGAAAAAAACAACATAATTGACACTTAACACAATCATAACCAAACCGACCTTTGTGCCCCGGTCAGCTGGATCTTGCCAAGTAATGTATTTGATGGGCGTGAGGTCAGCCAACTCTAGCACCTCGTCCACATAGTGCTGCTCGACCTGGCCAATCTCGGTGTAGTTATGACGTTCCATGAAAGCCCGGACAACTGGCGAGCTCAACCAGCAGGCTAAGAACACCTTCGGGAGGAGATACATTCGACATTGCAGGAAATATTCTCAATCATGAAGCACAACTTACTTTATAATCTTTTACTCGTATGTGAATAAAAAGTGTGTATTAGATTTATCAATTGCACTGAAATGTACTATACCTTTCGATATCATGCTACGCATAGATATTTAGAATACGATCTAGTAAACGAAGAGGTAAACTTCAATATATCGGTGCACTGTGAAATCTTAATTTTCAGATTCATACTTTCTTTTCTCTGTTTGTCATAAACTGACATCTTCTTCCAATTCGAGATACGGTAGGATTGAATAATAAACCTAACCAATCAATAAAATAAATATAAATCATAAAAATTTTCCGTTGCATCTTCTTGACTAGGAAATTTATCTTGGTCACAGAGCAGGTGATTTCTGAAGACGACACGAAGTCACTGAAGAACAAGGAGCTACTTACCTCTCTCGTCGAGACCCAAGTGAATGTACCCGTCTACGAACGTGTGTTTCAGGTCCACCAGGAAAGCTTTGACGAAGTCATAAACCTGGAAAATAAATAAGATGATAAATAAAAGTCAATCTAAATTAGAATTGTTAGTATCTCCAAATTATTTTCTGTTGTTATATGATTCAGAAGTGAAGACAGAAACTGAGGTTACCCTCTGTAGAACTGGACATACAGTATGTAGAAGTTTCATAACTAAATTGAGAAATTTACTTAATATTACAATCTGAAGTTCTTTTGAGAATGTAGCACTAACCCAGTGTGATGATTACTACCTGCCACCAGTTAACAACAACTAAAACTGTTTTTTTTAAAGTTGCATACATACCAGATATACAATATATACATATATACTCATGGAAAGATAAACTGTCAATAATGAAAAAAAGGAATCCACAATACCTGTGGGTTAGTGGGGTCGAAATTCTCATATGCCGCGTGGAGGGGGTAGTTGGGGGTCCCCGCGTTCTGGCCGTCACCATAACACGGGGTAAGCAAATCTACGGGAAAACACACCCAAAAGGTTTTCGTAAATGAAGCTTTCTTATATAGGAATTTCCTTGCTTGCTGGTGGAAATTTTTTGACAGGAACCTTTATATCTATTGCAAATTCTCTTTGTTCTACCAGCCTTTTTTATGTTACAAATGTGTAGAAAGCAGAAATCTATAGGAAACAGAATACGTAGAAAATTTCTCAAGTAATCAGTTAAAAACCTCACTTCCTATCCCTATAATTACTAATTTTTAACATAAATATCTAATCAATGTTGCTTCATGAATGCAGTGCAGAGACTCCTTTCCCACATTCATATCTTTCTTACAGTCCAACCTTACAGCAATACAAAAAAAGACAACATCGAAATTGCAATAGTGTTACAAAATAGATCAAGACCAGCACGGATTTTCTTGAGAAATCGTCAGAAAACACCCACATACCAGCCACAAATTTACTTAAAAAACACTTTAGCAGCTTCTTCTCTTAAACCCTATAAATTTTGAAAATAAACCTCACAGTCCCACATCCACCTGTTCGAATGGCTACCCTTCACACCGTCACGATCTAAAGTTCCCCGAAAATGTCTTGCCACTTTAAACATTTTGGTTTTTTTAATTATCGTTATTTTCGCCTATTTAACCCTTAAGTAAAACCACCTCAATAAACCCTAAACTCTTCTATATCTGGGATCCCACATCAGTCTGTTAGACTTGCTTCTCCAGTACTTTACGCGAAAATGCCTTGCCGAAGCCTTGGACATGCCCTGGCGTATCAAACTCGGGGATGACCCTGATGCCCCGATACCTGGCGTAGTCTACGATGTCTGTCACGTCCTTCTGAGTGTATACGTGGCGTTGGGTGTAAGCGCCCTGGGCGGAGAGAGAGAAGGGGGGGTTAGAGGCATACTTTTTGTCTCGGGAGGGAGTTGGGGATATGCTTTTTGGTCTCTGGCGGGAGTTGGGTATACTTCTTTGTCTTTGGAGGTAGTTGGGGATATACACTTTTGTCTCCGGAGGGACTCCGTCTCTCGGGAGTGTGAGTATTTGCTTCTATAATGATACTGATACTGGGATGTCGAAAGTTAAACTGCTTGCAGAGTCGCCTGCCAGTTGCATTTCTCCATATATATCTTAACTGGGTTCCCGGTTATTCAGAAAGGTGTATTTTTCTCTCTCTATCTTTACTGGTTTCTCGGTTGTTTAGAAAGATGTATTTCTTTCTATTTATCTACTCAGGGTTCCCGGCTGTTTAGAAAGATCACAGGTGTCACTTCCTTGATGAAGATTTACATCTTGTGTGATACTCTTATGACACAAAAAACGACTAGTTTTCCCGACGCTAACCTTGCCCTAACAAACCTTTAAAAACTGAACAGAACCGATTGAAATGTCTTACTCCTCTCTTTATCACTTATACAAATTTTATTCTATATAAAATGCACAAAAGGAACTTACGTGAAGTGTGAGGTTTGGGAAGATCTTGGACTCATAAGGAAAACTCTGATCGTCTACAATGTGCCAGTGCAAGACGTTCATCTTATTCCATGACATTGAGTCCAACACCTGGAGGGAAAATACTGTGGTTAGGAAACAGATTACAGCAATGCAACATGAAAGATCTTTTATCCCAATTTATTTTTTTCTCTCACTCTCTTTCTTCCCGTCCCTCTCCTCTCTTCTTTCTTTCCCTCTCCTACTTTCTTTTACTCTCCCTATTTTCTACCCTCTTTTCTTTCTCTGCCTCCTCCCTCTTTTCCTCTACCTCTCTATTTCCTTCTCCCTTTTCATTTCCCTCTGATTATTGGGAGAAGATAGTACATTGGTACAGAGCAAGATTTGTAGGTTTTGAATGGGATATGTTTTATACTAAAATTATATCCAAGTATTCAAACAAAACACCAGTCGAGTACTAAATTAAGCTACCAATTAAATAAAAAAACTGAATTTGGGGAGAATAAGATAAGATGATGTTTATAGCTTGGAAAAAAATTGTCCCTTTCCCCTCTCCCCTCTCTTTCCCTACTTCCCTTCTCCCCCCATTCCTTCCTTCCCTCTCCCCCTCTCCTCTTCTTTCCTCTCCCCTACCCTCCTTTCCTTCTCCCCATCTCTTTCTCTTCCACTTCCATTCTCCCCATCCCTTTCTCTTCCCCTTCTCCTCTCTCCCTCTCCCTTCATCTTTCGTCCCTCTCCACCTCTCCTTCTTCCTTCCTTCCTTCCTTCGCCCACTCCAACCTCCTCTTCCCTTCCCTCCCTTCCCTCATCCCCAATCCTGTGTGCCTCACCTGCAGCATGGTGTTCTTCGGAAGGAAGTGTCTGGCGGTGTCCAGTAGGATCCCTCGGTGGGGGAACCTCGGTGCGTCCTCGATCAGCGTCTCGTTAAGGGTGTACTAAGGGGGAAAGGGCGTGTAAAGATGGATAAAAGGGCGCTGTGGTAGGTTGGCGAATGGGGAATAGGAGGATTGGTGATTTAACGGATAGGCAGTACAGAGGGTAAGGTGAAATGGGTGAAAGAACGATGATAAAACGGGAGAAAAATATGATGAGATGGGAAAAACGAGGCTATAATAAAAGGAAGAAGCAAAGATAGAATGAAAAAGTAATGGTAAAAAAAAAAACAATAATACAGAAAAGGCAGTGCTAAAACGCAATACAAAGTATATAACTAAAAACACACGGAAAGAACACGGGTGAGAAATAACCTTTGGAACTCTCAGTAAAATTAACTGGAAAAGCAACGAGAACGAGGACGAGAACGCAGAACATAAGGACTAACGTGGTTATCTCGCTCTGTGATGTGGACCAGCTGGGAGAAAGTCTCGAGTCCTCTCAAGGCGCCCCACACTGTAGGGGCTTGAAGGCGGGCAGACCCCTCGCCCACCACCTGGATCTGGCCCTCTTCCACGCCCACGCTCTCGCCCACGCCCGGCCCGGAGACCTCCAGAGTATCTGCAACACAGGGGGCTCAGGGTTAATTAAGGGGAAGAGGAACATTAAGGCTAAAAATAAGAATTCATAAAATTCCTTTAAGTCTTCTACGGTTTTCCCTTGCTAGAGCTTCTAGTCCTCCCCTTCTTATAATGGCTCCACACTTTCTTCTCTCTCTGCCAACGTCTGTCTTCCTTTCGCCCATTTCATCTCCTTCTCGAATGCTCCTGCTTCTCCCTCTCCCTGAGGATGCTACTCTTGTCATTTTATCCACTTCTTTTCTCCCTTCAGGTACCCCTCTTTTCCCCCTTTCTGCGTGCGTCTTCCCCATATTAGCCCTCTTTTTTTTTCTTCCCTCGCTCTTCTCTGTCTCTGTCTGTCTCTCCCCCGCACTCTCTCTGTAATCTCTCTCTCTCTCTCTCTCTCTTCCTCCCCCGCCCCTTCTTAACACATCGGTTTTCCCTCCTCTTTCCTGCCTCCCCCTCCCATCCACATTGTCTCAATTTCTCTTCTCAAATTTTCTCTTTCTCTTTGCCTGCCAAATCACTCACTATCCTCCCTCCTCTCTCTCTTTTATACTTCAATATTTTCCTCCCTCTCTCTTTACCTCAATCACTCCTCCTCCTCTCTCAACCAACCCCCTTCTCTGCTCTTCTTTCTCCTCCTACCTACCTCTCATCTTTTCCTCACACCTCCCTCGCCTTCCTGGCTCTCTCTCTGCTCTCCTTTCCTTTTCCCGCCTTCCTCTCTCTCTTCTCTCTCCCCTCCACTCCTCTCTCTTTGCCTTCAACTTTCCCTCCCTCACTCTTGCCCTCCTTTCTCTCCTCAACTCTTCCTCTTCTGGCCCTCCTTTCCTCCTCATCTGCTGCTCCCCTCCCTCACTTCGCATGTACGTCAGCCTCTCTAATCTCCTCTTCTTTAAATTAAACTTTCCTCTCCTTTAGGCCTGCCCACTTTCCTCTCTTTACTCTCTCATTTCGTTCGCTCTCCTTCTCCCCCAACCCTCCCTTTCTCTCCCTCATCTTCCCTCTCCTTCACCTCCCCCCCTCCTTCGCTTCTCCCGCTCACAAAGACAAACTCCACATTTAACAAACATTAACCCCATACATCCTTCTATTAAAACCCCTTTAGTAAACAAATCCCTCCTTACAATAACACCATCGTTTCCCTTTTGTGCTTGGTAACCCTTGCTTGTGCATTATTTTTTTAAACCGACAATGCAGTTCCTTGGCACCTACAATCCATTCTCATTCTCTCGGTCCCCGGCTGGAATTATCTGGTCTCCCAGATCTCTGTCCCTTCTCCATCTCTTCTCTCTTCTCTCTCCTCCGGTTTGTCTTTTATTATTATTGTCGACCTGTTTCTCTGCCGCTTCCGTCTCAATATCTCTCATTATGTTTGGTATCTTTAATCTCCTGCAAGTCCCAATCTCTTTTTTCCTCTTTCCCACTTTTTAAAGCATGAATCTTTTCTCCTTCACCTAACGTGAACGAGTAATTATGTTTACTGTTTCTATCTAGCTCTCTAGATTGTTTTCACTTTTCGTTCATTGTCTCTTCCCTCTGTTTTTTGTTTTAGTCCAGGAGACTTCTCTCTTGAATATAAACCATGGAATTTCATGGACTGTTGGGAAACCACAAAGGTCCCTCCCGTTTAACATCTTAATAGTTTAATATACACATAGCCTTAACATTTCTCATCTCTCTCTCTCCCTCTTCCCTCTCCTCACATGCTCTCCCAATATTTCCTCCCTCTCTTCCCTCTTCTTACCCCTCCTCTCCTTCCACATTGCTCTCCACCATCGTCCTTCGCTAAACCTAACTCGAATACCCTCCCTTCTGCTACTCCTCATATCACTCGCAATCTCCCGTTTCCGTTCTCCCCTTCTCCTCCGTCCCTTTATCCCACTCCTCTTCGAACAAGTTACAAACAGTAGCAGCTTTACAAGCCTCATAATCCGACGTGGGAGGTTCAGCTGTGCGGCGCTGTGGTTCACAAGTCAGTCAGCTCAGGCCACGGGGTCACCACCAACGAGGGGTTAATACGGGCATGGCTTGGGTTCAGGGGTGGCTTCTGGGTCAATCATAAGGTAGCTACTGTGATATCCTGCGAGAAGAAGAAAGATTAAACTGTGTTGATAGATATCCCTCTTAGCCTGTAAGGATTATTTTTTTTTTTTTTACAACTAGATAATTCGTGATCACTATGCAGGAAAGTGTACACTCTCAACTACGGTGGCGTTATATCTAAATAACATTTCTTTCATAACTGTATTCGTGCGCCACTTGTCTCTCTCTCATTTCCATTCCACCCCTAACGGATAAATAATAACTGAATAATAACACTACTCAAACTTATATGATTAGACAAAATTACGGGAACAAATACATTGGGCAGACAACAATTACCAGTGGAAATGTGAATGTTTTATTTAAGCAACTGAATTTTGCAAACAGCTTTCAGGCTTTCAAAATTCCTACTGGGCAGAGGTTCCGGGTTCAGCTTACGGTGGCAGTCTCTTTCAATAACCTTCTATCAATGTTAACAATTTGTCATAACTACCCATCCCTTTCGTGCCATAGGCCTACCTCTCGACTGCTGCATCGATGACGTCACATCAGCCTTCTCAAGTTGGCGTTAATGGTTTGAGGCTTGGTTGGTCTCATTTCGTATGAGGTGACTTTCGGCGGGGGGTCGCCTGTCTCGCAGTGGGTGGGGCACGGGGCGATCTGTCGGTTTTGGAAAAAAAAAAAAAACCCCGCTCGGGGTCTCGGGGGACCTCCTCCACCCCGGGGGGGCCGACTTCCCCACGCCTATCGGAAGAGAGAAGAACGGTTTAAGAACAAAGGTAAGGAAAGAGAGAAAGAAACGATTTCAAGAAAAGGTAACGAAAAGAGAGAAGAACGGTTTTAAAACCGATGTAAATGAAAGAGAGAAGAACGGTTAGATACAAAAACAATACCAGCGTATGGAAAAAGGACAAGATCATTCAAGAAAACAACAGGCTACAGGAAATACGCCTAGAGGTATACCTCCATACTTACACTAAAGAATAGCTGTATATACCTCTAGGTGATAATGACAATCATATTTTACTTATTTTAGCAAAAATTTACAATCCTTGTGCAAATTAATCGTTTATGGAATCAGGATATGACATTAGCGATAAACCCATCAAGACAACAAAACCCAAGGTCAGAATAAAAACTAACAAACAGTTAACCAACCTCTCTAATCATCACAAGAATAAAAAAAAAAAAAAAATAAATATCACCGATTTCACTCATTGTAATCCAAAACCTACATAGACACACCGCTCAACTTATTAAATCTCTTTTTACTACTTAGGTTCACATGACGCCATCGGGAACCACAAATCGCAATACGGGCAAAGTTCCCGATTCATTCAAGCTGTATAGGACAACACGTCATGGTTAGTTCATCTCTTGCGTAACGATTGCAGTCCATCCTCGAGATTCTCTTTCCGCCTCTAATGATATTTTCATAGATTCTCTCCCTTCATATCTATTTGGGGTCAGGTGGAAAGATTTTGTGACTTCTTTTGATGGCACTTTTCCTGGACCCCAAGCACATCTAGAAAAAAAATAAAAAAAGAAAAAATAAGAAAAATGAGTGGGATAAAAAAGTAATGAAAAAAAAAAATATAGATAATAGATTATAGATGATAGCGGGTTAAGGTTAGTTAGATGTTAGAGAGAGTTAGAGAAGAGAGAGAGGTAGCATGAGAGCAGAGAGAGAGAGAGAGACGAGAGAAGAGAGAGGAGAGAGAGAGAGATGACGAGAGGTAGAGAGGGTAGAGAGAATTACGAGGTAAGAGGGGAGATGAGACAATGACAGAAAAGAAAAGAAAGTCAAGAGACTATTTCCACAGTACATACTTTCACTGCTGGTAATTACCTCCATTCTTTTGTGCTCCGTAAACAATTACCTCAACCGGCCATACCAGTCATACCCAATTCCCCTAAGTGTGCTTCGTCTCTCACTCCCTTTATACTTCCAGACGTGTGGAACGATTTCACGGCCTCTCACCTAGCAAAATAGGAAGTCCAATATGAAGAAAAGAGGTTTTCATCTTTGCCTGACCAAGAGAAGCTACGATACATCAACCGACTCATCCAAAACACAACAAAACACCTACGAGCGCAATCATTGGCGGTTCATTTAAACCAACCCTTCAACCACTACCGCGCAATGCTGGATCAGATCAAATGTCACCCACACAAGCCAGTCAACACAATAAATAAAAAGAAATCCCTTCTTCAACACACGTTAAATGGCAAAGCAAACTGGAAGAGAAAATACTATACGGCACACACATTTCACTACTTTTTTTTTACTCTACAACTTAGAGAAGGCCACTATCGGTACAATACAGACAACATGACTCGCTGCACGACATCACACAATTCCACTTCCTTAAGACCGCCATTGCACAATACTCCACCCATTCTCTCTCTCTCTCTCTCACTCACCACTACACGTCTCTGCTTTCTGCTCTCTATCTCTCATCTCTCTTTGTTACTCTTTCTTCTCTCGTCTCATTCATCGGTTCTTCTCCTCTTCCTTCTCTCTCTCCTCTCTCCTCTCTCTCGTCTCCTCCTCTCCTCTCACCTAACCCCACACACCCTCTATCCTCACACGTAGCTACAGCTGCAGCTAGGTCAAGGTGGTGCTTTTAACTTCACTCTTTTTTTGGGGTGATTTCAATGCTCTTCTCCCCCCAAATGGACCCCCCTGCACCAAGACTTGAGACTAGTTTTACCGTTTTGCAGAATTTCGTCTGCTAACGAAGATAAAACAGTAACATCTGGCAACTAAACACGCGGTACTCAATCCACATCCACATTCGTAAGGATTCAAAAAAAAATCGCTTTTGAAGAGACCGTAGAATCAGAGCAGAGGTAGAAGACAACGGGGAAGAAGGAAGGACAAAGAAGGAGAGGGAGAAGAGCAACAACAAACACAACTGAAGAAAAGAAGTAAGGAAAAACAAAAGAAGTTGAGAAAAAAGTGTAAAGGAAAACAGAAGAAGAAGAAGAAAAGAAGAAAAACCCCACC